GTAGGCAGAGCACCCTCCAGACCGACGGTACCCAGGAAAGGAAGCTCACCGCCGACAGCTAAGATGCCTCCGATCTCGTTCTCGGACAGAACGGACAGACCGACGGGTGGGATGGGGGAAGCGCTGGAGGTGGGGAATCCACCACCGCTGGATGTTGGGACGGCGGCCAGACCGCATCCGCATCCGGCTCCGTAACCAGCCCAGTTTGCAGCGCCGAAGGGAGCTGTGGCCATCAAAGGAGCTTCGTAACCCAAACCAGCGCCGCAGTATGCGGAGATGGACTGTAAAGAAATTTAATTTTCATCAATTCATTGCCATTTTCAGAAAATTTTATTTCCTCGACATTTACGGGAAATTAAGTGATCACCTGCTTCTTTTTTGCTTGTCTTTTTAAGCTTAAATTCGAAAAAGTCGAAATTGTAACTTACGTGAGCCAAAAAGGCCTGTAGGCAGAAGAGAAGGACGGTCTTAGCTGACATGTTGGTGAATGTATGATACTGTACTGAGGTTAACGTAAATTTAGGGTATATTTATATGAAAAAATATGCCTAAATAGTACGATAGTTAAATTAAGAAATTAATTTAAATACTAACATATAATACGTGACTATATTTCAAATAAAAAATATATATAAAAATGATTAGGAAACATTCCGAAGGATATTGTGTTTGATGTTGAAATTATATCAATCTGTGAGGGACGTGTTGTTTTTGGATTTGATAACAAAAGTAAAAAATGCAATAGGTTTTTGTGTTTTCCTTGTTAGTGATAAAAATTTCTTAGAAAATAAAAATAATGTTGTTAATCAGACCAAACTAAACTTTAAAATAGCAACGTTTCGCCTTATATCTATTTTAAAGTCAAAACCAAAATCCTTTTACTGATGGCGCAATAATAAATTTTCTATTAAACCCTTTGTATTTTATAACTTTAACTCGTTTTTGTCAAACTAGCATTTTAAAAGTCTATTTATTTTAATTACTTTTGACGTCAAGTACATGACTATACTTTTATTACGAAATTGTATTGTCCGCCGGATAAATGTAAATATATAAATACTTTGGATCCTAATACAGAATCATTCTCGATCACACAGTCGGAAAACAAACATTTAACATGTCTCCTTTCGCCTTCTTGCTGCTCTGCATCCAAGCATGCTTGGTCCAGGTAAATATGCTTTCTTAAGCATTTGTAAAATTGATATATTTTTATTGATTTTTAGAGGAAGTGTTCAATTATTTGACAATTTTAAAACGTTTTAGAATGCGTACAGCGCATGCCTTGGAGCCGGACTCGGTCTGGGCTTCGCTGACGGATGGGCCGGTGAATGCGGCCGCGGCTATGGCTTAGCCACCGAATTCGGATACGGACCCGGACTTGGTCTTGGCTACGAAACAGGACTTGGACTTGGCTACGGACTCGCTGGCCCTGCTGCCATCGCTGGTCCGGCTTACGGAGGCAC